GATAGATAGATAGATAGATAGATAGATAGATAGATAGATAGATAGATAGACCGATAGAATGTCTGAGGCTGGTGCACACCTCCTGTTGCAGTAACACAGGGCAGGTGTTCACACCTGGCCTCAGCCTGGTGGTAGCTCAGAAAAACTCAATTGCTCCCAGCATTTTGCCTCTGCCCTCCTCAAAAATCCCTGGAGGCTCCCTCTGTACCGCTTCTGTCCAGTAGGACTCTCTGAGATGGCAGAGTTGCCCCTCTGTAGCCACTGGAACTATGATCTTGAATTTGCAGTTTCCATTAAAAAAAAAGGTAAGTGGGTCCCTGCAGTGCTGGTGACCACCTTATCAGATCCCATAGATCTACCTTGAAAAACAAGAGCATTCTTCTGTCCTCCCTGGGCAGGAGAGGAATGCACTGCCCCTTTATTGCTGTCTCCAGCATGCCTCGCCTTTGATTTCAGAGGGATTCTAGAACTTAACTAGCAATCAGGAGTTGGCTCATAAGCCCAGCCCCAGGCAAGGAACGTTTGTGATGTTCAGTCCTGTCACAGGTGAGGGAATGGGCGGCTAATGGTCCCTAAGGACAGGTGGGCTTTGGGCTCCGTCTCCCTCCAGGTACCTCACAGTCCCTGGCGTTCACCTGTGTGACTCGCCCATCGTCTCAGTTGGCTCCCAGGCCCTGCAGCCATCAGCTGCTGTAAAACAGATTGAGTTGGTAAAAATATGTGTGTTTGTTCTCACAGAACCTGAGAGAATCACACCTCTACTTTGACAAAAAAAAAAAAAAATCTGTTTGTGCCGTTCCAATAATCACTTCCTAACTGGTGGGATAGCGGGCCATATGTCTGCGAAGTGGCTAGCTGGAGAGGTGCACCACCTCCATCACACCTTAGAAAAGACACTTCTTAGCGGACCAGCTCTGTCCTAAATAGTAGGGAGCCAGGCTTTGCTCTGAGAAACACCCAGGAGCTGAGTCATGGCTGGAGCCGTGGTGGCAGGATGGAGGGTTGACCTGGCAGGCTTTGTAGGTCTGCTGCGTCCAGGAAGCAAGCAGTCCGCAGGATTAGGTTTAGGGGTTGCTTCTGCATCGCAACCTGAAGGTTTGAAGCAGGCTTCCTGTAGAATGGGGAAGTGTCCATTGCAGAAACATTACCTTGTTTGGGGCTTTTATTTCAGGCCTCCATGGAAACCGGCATTTGCAAGCTCTTTGAGACCCTTGATGGGCAAAATTTCGTGATATTCTACCAGGCTCATGGGGTGAGGAGAACCACCCTCTCCTCACTGTGGAAGGGAACCTGTTTCCAGTGGGCTGTTGGCTTATTCTGAGTATGATTAGAGAGTTCGGCTTTGGGGCTAACTGTTGTCCCAAGGAAGCCAGTGGACACACGGGAGAGCCTAAGGACAGTCCCCTCTCTGTAATCTTTCCCTGGAGTCAGTGTACATGGTTTGAGGACAGATCTTCCTTCCCATGGCTGTCTCCAGAGCACGTCTCTCTGACCAACTCTGCCGCCTGATGTGACCAACTGTGGCCTGGCGGATCAGTTCCTTTTCTCCTTGCCGTGGAAGATCTGAGAACATCAACCGAAGGAGTTGGACATTGTGT